TCATTTTCTCCTGACCCAGCATGTCCAGCTGCCACCAGAGGTTGCTGATGTAGCTTTCGAACATGTTTTCCATGTTACTCTGGGATGTCTTCTGCTGCTGCAGGAGGCTCTACTTGGCCTCCAACATCCTACTCTACTGCTCCAGAAACCTAACCTTGTTGATGAAGGAGGCAAACTTGTTGAGGTTTTTGATCAACCTTCTCCTGAATACGTATGGCCTGGATGTTGGGGTCCACCCCCAGGCTCAGGGGGTTCAGCAGGCTGTGGGTCACCTGGATGACCGTGATGCTCCTCACACCACCAGCCCCACCATAGCCACCCAGCGCCCGGCCGCCTCGGAAGCTGCTGCTGCTGCCCATTTGAGAGAAGCTGGGGGAGCTGATGCGGGAGGCAGGCCCGCTGGTGTAGGAGAGGCTGCTGGAGGCCCGGGGGCCGGAGGTGGACACCTCGTAGGACTTCTGGGCCACCCTTATGGACATGGTGGAGGCTGGAATGGAGGGAGGCGAAGTGAAGATGGAGACTGGAGAAGGAGCCTGGCAGCTGCTTCTGGACAGTGGTGTGCATGCCTTTTTGCTTTTGTGGTTTTGTTGCTTTCTGCCCCCATGAACTGCTGCCCTCTACCATGTGCAAGTCTGCCTTGGAGCCAGCTAATTATGGGCTGAAGCCCCCACAACTGTGAGCTTTGAAATAAGACTTACCTTCCTTAATTTTGGGCGTCAGGTATTTTTGTCCTAGCAATGAGAGAAAAGTAACCAAGACAATAATCATTTCTTGTTTTCTTCTCATTTCCCCCTTCTGTCTAACTACCCATATGTTGCTCGTTATAGTTTTGTTTGTGTTTTGACATAGCTATGTAGTTCAGGCTGGCCTTGAACTCACTATGTAGCTCAGGCTGGCCTCAAACATGCAGGGATCCTTCTGCCTCCATCTCCTGAGCACTGGGATTACAGGAATGTGTTATTAGGTCTGGATGTTCATTATGCTTCTGATAAGTAGTTCTAAACATCCTACTGATCCCAGGCAAACTTGTATTTCATATTCTGGTTTGGAACAGAATACCTTCTTTTATTCTTCTTCAAGAATTGCAAGCAAGAGATTTTTCTTTTCCCTGATTATTTTTCTCTATCAAATTTAGTACTTTCCCTTGTTCCATAGTGCTTGCTCTTGCGCTCTGTCTTTGTGTCTCTGTCTTTCTCTTTTCCCCTTTAATAAGATGCCTGTCCCATGAAAACAGAGAATTTTCTTTCCTTTTCGCCTCTTCTTTTTCAAAATCTCATTTCCAACATCTAGGATAGCATAGAACAATTGGTAAAGAGCTTGTGCTTCAGTAATGCTTTTTCTAATCCTACCATAGCCAAAGAATGCGTTCCCATGTGCTGCCTCTTTATTTGTTCAGCCACAGATTAGCCCAGGCATTCATAGACCCAGTTGCTCTAGACTTCACAGCCTGGCCTCCATTTTTTTCTTCTCTCCTTAAAAGTAACCCACGTTTCCTCTCATTTTAGAACTCCTAGATATTCAT